AGTTAAATGATAATATTTTCTTTCTTTTGTTTTTCTGAAGTAAATTTGATTAAATTAATTAATTTTTTTCATTGGAGTCAGCCACCCCAACTTTAACGACCTTCCTACGCCACTGTATATATATATATATATATATATATATATATATATATATATATATATATATATATATATATATATATATATATATATATATATATATATATACATATATATATACTAATTTTTATTTAGGTGCTCCAAGAAGTTCTTACAGTCTTATCACAGAGCACCGCGGATGAGCATTTAATCGGAAGTTTATGCCTTCTTTCTAACCAATGTCGCAAAACTTCCCCAGAGGTGGGGTTTGAACCACGGATCCTTCGTTTGTGAGGCAAGTGCCCTACCACTGCGCCACGGCTGCTCAATATGTATATATAGGGGAAGTTGGGGTACAGTGGATTGAGGGGACAGTGAATAATTTGCATTTTCTCAAAAATTAGAACTTTGTTCATCTTGATAATGTAATCATTTTATGTGCTCATATATCAGTCATCTTTATTTATAGTTGTTACCACATAATTTTTGACTATCGGTTTTTGGTAGGTAGTTTTAGTTTTTAACGAACTAAAGTAAATTTTCTTACCATCCTTAAGTTTGTTATGAAGATCATGGTTGAAATAATTTCAAAAGTTTAATATTTTTATTCGGATTATTGATATTTATGCTTCCTTTTGGTAGTTTAGCTTTTTAACAACATTCATGTCTCAATAAATTAGACTTAAATTTAATTTGTTATGGTGGAGCACAGTGAATTGGGATACAGTGAATAGGTTGATTCACCATGCCCAAATAATCATCTTAAAGATTAAATTCATGCATTTTAACAAACAAACTACATGAAAATGAATTTATTATTATTTTTAAGTTAAGAATAATTTTTTAATTTTTTAATATTTTTATAATTTTTGTTATCAATATAATTCTTTTTTTTTCTTCACAATTTTCAAAATGTCTATTTTTTCGATTTCATACTAATTTAATTAATAAAAGTATGCCAAAAGTATAGTGTACAGTCTCTTTACTTCCACAGCCTCAAAGTTATTTGACCATGTCTCTATTCACTATCATTAATTCACGGTTGTGATTATTTATTTACTGTGCCCCGGTACTGGGGCACAGTGAATAACATGACACAACTCACTTTAAGCCTTTCTGTGTGCCGTTAGATAATAAAAATTGTGGTTTTAATGATTTATTATCATGAAGGATATATCTTAATCCTTTCGCCTTGAAAAAAATAAAATACATATTTTAACTTTTGCTTTTAATATATATATATATATATATATATATATATATATATATATATATATATATATATATATATATATATATATATATATAAAATATATATATATATATATATATATATATATATATATATATATACATGTATATATATATATATATATATATATATATATATATATATATATATATATATATATATATATATATATATATATATATATATATATATATATATATATATATATATATATATATATATATATATATATATATATATATATATAAATATGTATGTATATATATATATATACATAAACATATATGAATGTATATATATATATATATATATATATATATATATATATATATATATATATATATATATATATATATATATATATATATATATATATAATTTGATTCTTGTTTCATTTAAATCTATATGTTGTTTTTATTTGTTTCTTATAACTTTATTTACTAAAAGTTTTAATCTGCATAATATTTATACATAAAGTTATTTCTTTGTTTTTTATTTTTCCATTTAAGTAAAAATTGAAAGCATCCAATACTTTTTAATTGTTTAAAATTTAAGTAACCATCTCAGAGGCAGGTAACATTTTTGATAAAAAAAAAGAGTTTGTTGCTCAAAACTCAGAAACTTATAAACTTACTAAGGCCTAAAGTATTTACTTTTTATGAACCGAAGCCTCAGATTGTTATTTGGCGCGACGTTGCAGCACTTTTTTTTTTAAATAAGAATATATGAACGAAAGTGTTTGCAAATATCTAATTAACGCAAACTTCAAATTACTTAGTGTTGATAATTATATCGAGTTTAAAAGTTTTGTTTTTACTTGAAAATTGCATTGCGGCAATGTCTCCTTAATTCTAATTTATAGCATTTGTTTGCCATTTTATGAAGTTATAGTTTTTTGCTTAATAAATAATGTTTAAAACTGTCTGTATAGTATGTCTTAGTGAACGAATACACATACATACACATTTAAAGAAACAACTTTTTTTTTTATTGGAATTTCAATATCGTAATAACGTGAGCTGCATTAACGTTATTTTTTCATCAGAATTCCACTTTATTTTTGACTTAGGACTTGACTATAAATTTTTCGACAAATTTTTATATAATCACAAAAAAAAATTGTAACTTTGAAAATGTTAGCATTCATTTTTTTCTTTATATTTTAAATTAGCTAAATTCTACTAGAGGGTCAAAACTACATACCTAGCTAGCACAGAAGTCCGTAAAACATCTTAATGATTTCTAATGAAAGTCTCACGACGTTGGGACATTAATACAGTACATCATGAAGACGTCTAACGGACGTACTTTGCTTGCTGGGTAATACTAAAAGGGTACCCTAACTAAAACTTTGCACCTGGTTTTTCTTGCTCATATTGGCATTAGTTTTGGTTAGGTCACCCCTAACTTTTAGGCCGGGGGAATAAAAAAAGCAATCGCTTTTACTCAGCATTTTTAGATTTATTGTTCAGCTATACTTAAAAAAAATTTGAGTAAAATTGTTTAAATTTTTATTCACGTAAAGTTAATCAATTTACACCAAAAACGCTGAGTAGTTACTCAGCTTTACGTGAATTAAAATTTGAGCAAAATTGCTAAAGTTTTTATTCATTTAAAGCTCATTAATTACTGATTAAAAGCATAGTCATAAAAAGAATTCTTATGACTATGGTAAAAGCAATTGCTTTTTTTTATTCACCTGACCTAATATCTCATTATGATATCGAGTTGATTATAATATGTATAAAATGTACTTAAGTGCTTCTAAATAAACGCAGCTGATATGAATAACGGTTGATTAAATCTGTTAAATTTTTTGAATATTCAAATTTGTAAATAAATATGATATTAGATAATAGTTAACGGTTTTAACTTTCCAGCAAAACAAAATGAATTTTAATACAATTAAATAAGTTTCTACAAAATATAACTTCATATTTGTAAATATTTCTGTACCGAGTATGATTTTTTATATTGGACCAATCAAAAGAGTTTTCTAAAGCATGTGATCGATGGTGAGCATATTTAAAAAAACAAAACAAAAAAAAAAACACGTTACTTTTACATCAAATTAAAACGTAGGAATAAACTTGTGGAAATTAATTCTCTTCTTACTTTTTCAAGAAGAATTTTACAACTATTTAAACTTCAAATTAAAATATCAAGCACCTTGAACATTCGAATTTTTTCTTCACAAACCAAATATTTTTCCCTTACAAGCTATTTTTAAAGATCAAACTGTTTGATCTTAAAAATTAGTAAAAACATTTAAAACTTGATTTAAATAGTCAGAAACACGTGCATTTAAATTTAGAGTTCACAATTAAACACTATATTTTGTATTTATAACTTGGTCTTGGACCTTTTAATAATGAATAAGTGCTGTAATCTATTTTTAAAGTTGCGCTTTATTTACAGAGTCCATTTCAACCATACAAAAATGGAAATGTAACGGTTAAAACAACTGGTCAACTAATAGAAGGCTTTGGTGCTTCTCTTATTATACTACCCATAATCATGTTTATTGAACAAATGTCTATAACAAAAGCATTTGCTAAAAAGTTTAATTATAAAGTAAAAGCGCAGCAAGAATTAATTGCAATTGGAATGTGCAACATAATTGCTTCTTTTTATGGAGGTTGGATTGTGGGCGGAAGCTTTTCACGTTCTGCCGTAAACTCCATGAGTGGCGCCCAAACTCCTTTAGCTGGTAAGTTAATTCTTTTACTTTAAACAAAATGTAATCGACCACAAAACTTGTAAAATTTTTACAATTATTCACTTAAGATATTTTTAATCATTATTTTTTAATTAACTATGTTTAATTAGGTGCAATTTCAGGACTGATTGCGTTGATAGCTCTTGAGTTCATGACTCCAGCCTTATATTATATTCCTTCAGCAGCTTTAGGAGCTATGATGGTGATGGCAGTTGTCACAATGATTGAAATGAGTGTACCAAAACATATTTGGAATTTGCACAAATGGGATTTGCTGCCGGTTTTTGCTGCTTTTTGCACAAGTTTTTATAAACTAGAGTATGGGGTCATTGTAGGAACTGGCATCGCAATACTAATACTTCTTTCCCGCGAGGCGCGTCTAAAGTATTTACTTGAAAAAAATGAAGAGGAGAAATCTATCAAACTTGTATTATTAGAAAACTTAACCTATCCTGGTGTAGAAGCAGTAAACAAAACAATTTATTCTGAAGTCAATAGTTGTACTTGGATTGAAACCTTGTTTTTAGATATGTCTGTTATGGTCCGTGTTGACTTTACAATACTTAAAAACTTTGAATATTTAAAAGATGAGTTTTTGAAAAGAAACATCGCTCTTTGTTTCATAAACTTTTCTCGCATTTCTGTAAAAAAAAAATTTTTTAAAGCTGGTCTAATTAATAAAGAAGAAGATTTGACATTAATAAAAGATTCTTTAGCAAATACAGTAATATTGATTGCAAATGACGAACCGCTTATTGAAAATACAAAATATTTAAAAGTTGGATTAACCGAAGAAGATGATTTAGAGTTGAATACTAATACTTTGAATACAGGGAGTAACACCTTCGAAGAATATACTTCAAACAATTCTAATATTGACAGTTACTTATTAAACAAACATGTATAAACACTAATAACAAGTTGATATGAAATGCAGCATATATCAGCATAGTTTTTTTCAATATTATTTTTATTTAACTTAGCTGTTTCCAATTAAAGATATATATTTATATAAAGTCAAGAGGTGTTGGTTGTCACTCATTACATTTTAGACTGCTTACATTTCGTTTTCAATTAAATCCAAGCCAAATTGTGCGCAAATTTAATTATTTGCGGTGAGTATGACAATGTTTTCAATTGCTGTAAAATTATTTCTAAAAAACCACTTTTGCGTAACAACCAACCATTAGTGCGCGTTTTGTTGTTACATAGTTTGAGTTGGTTGACGCATTTTAAAGCATAATTGCATTAAACTCTATAGCCGAGTGAAAGAACATTAAGAACTCTTTACATTGGCGCGTAACCCTTTAATAGGGTTCTTCGGATAAACCAAAAAGTAAGGTTTTTTAAAAAACCCGCAATAGTAATTGAAAGAACCTTAAAGGTTTCTTTAAATTTGTGTTTGTGGAGCACCAGTAGAAGCTCTTCAATGAACCCTTTAAAAAGGTTCTTTGGATGAAGTCTTAAGTTTTTTTGAAGAATCAGTTAAAATTTTTTGTAGAACCTTTTTTTTTAGTTTTTTTTTGCGTTAGTACTCAAGGTGCATCAATTTTCTTAAAAAAATTTCATCAATCTAAGATTTATCAAAAGAATTTTACTTTACATCCAAAACCATTTAGGGTTCTTGACTTTTTTATACCATAGAAGCAGAGGCTATATTCTTATTCGTAAAACAATATAATATATTACTTAAAACAATTTCTTAATACGAAGGCCTTTTTTGAATTCTTGTACAAATGAAAGTTTAATTATTTTAAACATTCTACATTTTAAACAATTAACATATATTTTAAAGGCAATAAAGAAAAAACTATTTTTAAACAATTATATTAAAATAGCTTAAAAAGGATCTCACTTCTGCTGCAGCATGGGGCTCACAGTGGCTGGTGAACTTTAATTCAGATAAAACACAATCTTTTTAAGCCAATCTTTATTAGAATAATTTAGATCTTTCTATACTTATGAACGGTAATGTACTCGATGAGTCATCTACCTTTTATCTTCTAAAATTAAATCTTATTCCCGATCTTTCTTGGAAACCATAAATTAAACCCATTGCAAAATTAGCATCTGCTCAAGTTGGATCTCTTTATCGTACTCGACACTTTTTTACTCCGGATTCGATTCTTTATCTCTATAAATCTCAAATATACCCTTGTATGGAATCCTGTTGCCATATAATATCTTTCTCTTTTAGAAAAGGTGCAAAAACACATTGTAAACATAGTTGGACCTGCTCTTGCAGCTAACCACCAACCATCATCATGTCGTCGTAATTAGCACAAAGAAATTTATTATACAATTCAACATAATGTCCATATCTTCAATTATAAAAGCAAACTGAATTGTTTCCACGTGTCAAATCCAATGTTTCATATATAAAAGTTTTTCCGAGTTCGTTTTCTTTTTTTATATACAAATATACAAACAAACGTAAGTCGTTTTTCAGAAGTCACATTTTAGAAGTCACATTTAATAGAAAAATCTAAAATGAACAAACTAATGATTATATAGATATATATCCAGTGTTGAAGAGAGCCTAAATGTGACCAGAGCAAAAAGTCAGTTTTGGCATGGCCACATCGATCCTTAAAGCTACTGTTGGGGTTAACAACATGTACAAACAAGACGATGAAAGCCATTCAAAATAGATTTATCTTTTTAGTTTAGTCTCATTAGTTTCTTTGTTTTCATTAGCAAGCTTTTACAGGTGGATTAGTTTGAACATCTTTGCCTACAATTTTTTAATGCTAACCTTAGACCTGCTCATGGAATAAAGTTAAAATAATCTTAATTTTTTTTTTTCAATTTTATATAAGACTGATCCTTTACTTTGACTTTTTTGAAAAACCTTTGACTTAATTGTTTTAATATATTTTTTAATATTGTTTTAACATATAGCTTAGTTTTCTAGCTACCTCATAAATTTTATTTCATTTTATTTCAAGTTATTCTTGACTTGTTTTTTAATAATAAATACGTTCAAGTACCGATGCCAAATGCTACTGCATTGGTAGTTTAGACCGGGGAAACTGTTTTTTTTTTTCTATCAAGTAAAAAGAGTTTATTTAGACAAATTAAAAGAAAAATGAGATGAATGTTGTCTAAATAGAAATTATTCTACAGTTCTTTTCAGTAACAGTTATTTTCTTTATCTTCAACGGTTGCTCCATCTAGTTTCAGTGCTAAGAAACTAGTCAATAGTATTAAAAGTAGTCATAATAAATAAATTAATACACACGATGCATAGGAACATGCTCTAAGACCTTGCAACACATCCCGAGAATTTTTTTTTTTTTTTTTTTTTCAGAAGACTTTTTCTTTATTTCAAAAATGTAAAAAGTAACTTTTTTCACCGGGGCCTAGGGAGAAATCATGCATTTTAGACGAATGCCTAGTAATTTTGTTGTTCAAGATAGGTAACTAAGAGCTATGTGGCATACTCAAATTTTTAGTATGTTAATACTGGAATCAATTGAGGATGAATTTGAAAAAAGTTTAGGTAATTGGAGCTAACCCAACCCCGTTCCGACCCCGAACCACCCCCTTCCTAGAACTACGTCTCTTAAGCTAATAAACATGTTTTTAAGTTCTAAAATAAATTAGACCCAAATTTATTGATAGATTTCAAGTTTCATCAAAATATATCTTTTTGTTTAAGATTTATGACCATAAGAAGTTCAAAAATTAACAAATTTAACCCCTGAAATAACTTTGAATGGTCGTAACTTTTAAACTAGATATTGTTTTTTGATGAAATCTAAAATCTGTCAATGAATTATGTTTTAGCTCAATATGACATAAAAAAATTTGAAAAATTCCATTATTAGGGAGTATTAGGGGGTATTAGGGGTCCAATGGGGTTAACTACAACTACTTTATGGCCGTAAAAAAAAAAAAAATTCTGGTCTATTTGGTTAAATTGTTATTTATATTTTGCATGTCATGTATAATCATATCATATATTAAGAAATTATGTTAAAAAATTGTTCATAAGAAGCTAATATTATACTTTTTATAAGTTACCTGCAAATTAAAAGCTACTTTAAAAGTGTTAATAGTTGTAAGCAGCAACTGCGTTTTTTAGCGCTTCAATATAATTTAGGCTGTGTTCTCTAACTTTTCTCATTCGCCTAAACTGATTGAAATCTTTGTGAATGGATTTCAGAGCTTGTTCGGTCCAGTAACTTAAGCGTAAAGAATATAAAATGCACAAAATAAGTTTTAGTCTATTTATTGAATAGCCGTCATAGTTTATGCAAGTTTAAACATGCATAAACTGTTATATTATTGTAATGATAAGTATTTAATTACTTTTATTATAATTAAATAATATTAATCCAATCTTTTGTCAAACATAAAATTTATTTATCATACCGAATACTGCACCTTTCATATGAATTTGATAATAACGGGTGTTCACTTGAAATCCGGACTGACTTTAAAGGGTCATAACTCCCTTATTTTTTATCAACTTAAAAAAATAAAATATGATTTCAAATCAGCATTTAATTCTCTATAATATGATGCTTTATTTATTTTCAATTAAATTTTTTCTTCTTATAGAATCAATTCTTGATAAAATACCCTTCGCAAACTCTTGTACAAGATTGATATCAACTTTGCTGAAGCAATACACTATCCTTTTCCTTAGTTGTTCTAAATTTTCTGCTTGCCAATTATCTTTGTAAACTAAACCTTTTATTATTGACCAAAAATTCTCAATAGATCTTGCTTCTGGTACATTTGCAGGGTTATCTTCTTTTGGTACAAATCTGACGTTTTTTCCATTTAAATAAGCTTGAACAGATTTAGCATAATGAGACGTCGCCAGATCTGGCCAAAATACGAATTGACTGTCTTGATGATGCTCTTTAATAAAAGGAATAAGACGTTTCTTAATACAATCTTCTAAGTAGATTTTTTGATTGATTGCAAAACTACTTTGACGGATTAGAATTTTTGACATTCCTTTTACAGAAAAGGCTACCCAGACCAGGAACTTGGGTTCATACTTTCGCTTTGTATAATATTTGACACTAGATGGGCAGAGGTTTATGTCACTTGTGTAGAAGTTATCGTTTTCGTTGATTGATGAATGAGAAAGAGTAAAATAAGATTCATCATCAATGATCCAATCAAATTTGCTAAAAGCTCGATATAATCTACCACACTTTGTTTTTGCCATCAGTTTTTGATCATCAGTTCAATGTGGAATCTTTTTCTTCTTTCTTTTCTTGATTTTTGATTTTGTCTGAATAATTTTATGGGCATAAGAAGCTGATATTCTAAATTTTCTACCTGCTTTCTATAAGAAACGCCATCATGATGATCAAACATTGATTTTAACGCTTGTACTTTTTTTTTGGTCATTTTTAGAGCTTTTTTTCCTGAACCAGGACGTCTAAGATATCCAGAATTGTCATCAGCACGTTTAATTATATCATAGATGGTCGATCTGGCAATTTTTTCTTTTTCAAAATGATCTAAGGTGTACTTTTTGCCTTTTTCTTTATTTTCAATATAGAAGTTGTACACACGTTTTCGAGTGTCGTCTTGTTTAGGTTTCATTTTCAATTTGAATAATCATTCAATCTAAATATAAATGTAGCATATTAAAGCTAAATTTAAACGCTTTAAAATAATGTATCACATGGTACAATTGCAATACATTATTTCAGATTTATATTGACTTAAAGTCAGTCCGGATTTCAAGTGAACACCCGTTATGTTGCTCAACTATGTGTACTTTCAAAGGAATTGAAGCCCCTAGATTTTTATAGATCGTAGACAACTGCTCTATATCTTTGACATCAGAATAGCTTAATGATTTTCCAAATGTTAATAAAAAGTGTTGAACAATACTTATGAACATTTTTACATTTTTTAATGTTGCACCATCAGATATCAGTTGGTCAAAAAGATCATTATAATATAATATATTTTACTGG